AACTCTGAACCCTAAACGCATAATCCCAAGCCCTAGACTTGAATTTAGCACTAAACCTTGCACCCTAAGCCATGGAACACCACCAAGCATCCCAACCCTAACACCCCTAAAAGTCCAAACCTTAAGACCCGTAACCGTTCAACCACTACAGCCCCCCAAAAGGCCCAGCTGCGAGGGAAAGCAGCCAGCCTTTCAACCAATTACGACTCGCCGGGGCCTCGTTGGGCCGTGCCTCCTGCCAGGTTTTTAGGGGCTTTAGGGGTTAGGGCTTAGTCTACCGTTGGACCGTCTTCAACTGGCTTATAGGGATATGTAAGGTTTAGGGGTTTAGGGCTAAAGCGTTTTGTAGGGGTAATATGTGGACATCTAAGGATATGTGGGGCTTATCTAGGGTTTTATGCAAAACCACCATTGTGGAGGAGACTTGGGACTGTATCGGGTAATCTGGGGTTTGTGGATTGGGGTCTAGGGTTTTGGGGTCATAGATCATGTAACGTAATAAGTATTGGGTACTGCCCCCCCTCAGTAACAATGGGATAATAACTAGAATATGGTTATATATAGCCCTTAATAGGACCCCTACTATAGACTGTTACTGGGTGGGGGCAGTACCCAAAAATAAATACTTGTAGCTTGGATTGTAACCGTCCATTTAACTGGGTGCTCCGGGGATGAGTTTGTATAGCTTAGGGGATATTACAGGCCTTAGGCTATATGACCCAAAAATGATGGGACTACAGGCTTGGGGTTTAGGTTGAAGGGTTCAGCGGTGAGAGGTTCTTCTTTTCGGGGGGGGGGCGGGGGGGGGTTTAAGGGCTTAGTGGATTTATGTACAAGGCCATGTATATGGCCTCTAGGATTGGAAGAGCAAAATCGAAACTGCTATAGGTTCCCCAGAAGTCTTTTTGAAAGGGTTTGGGGGGGGATGAGGGCATGGCGGGTTAGGGGTAACAACTTAGAGTTTATAGAGGGTTTAGGGGTGTGGGGTCTTTGAGTTTAGGTGCTTTAGGCTACAAAGGATTCTATAAAAGTTTACGCCTTCAAACAAACCGCAGACGACTGCAGGGTACCCTTAGGACCTCTTCAACTGGCTTGTAGGGCCATGTAGGGTTTAGGGTCCAGGGGTTCTGGGGCCTCTCCTGAACTATCGTGGACCACCAAAAGCGGCACTCTGGAAGTCTAGGGTTTGGAAAGAAAGGAAAATCGAACGGACAAGAACATGAAAACTGGGTATATCTCGGGTTGGAATGTAAGGGCCTAAGTGATCTAAAAAAGGTTTGAGGATCTTCCATTGCATTTAGTTTTCCATTTACTTTTCCTTTTGCTTCTCCACTATTTCTAACCCCAAAGCCCTAGATGCCCTTGTACAACTAGTGGCTGTTATTTGAACTCCCCCAAATTGGACACCAAATATGCATGCACTCTTCAATATTCTCACCAAAAAACCAGACTAAAACCCTACTTCACAGCCTAATTAACGCGTGTAATCCCCTTTGAAGCCACCCTAAGGCCCTTTCTGTATCCCATTCTTCCTGAAGCCATGGGTCAGGCTTTGGGGTTTATAGTCCCCCTTAAGTAGATAGAATATGGCTTTGGGTATATTATCATAAGATCCCCATATACTCCATATTCTATCTACTTAAGGGGGACTATATAGGGTTTAGGGTTTGGGGGATTACAATTCGGTACCTCGAGGATTGGCGCTGGCGTGGCAGTGATGGGCAGGCCGCCCGAGCAACCCAAATTATCGAGCCTGGGAGCGGGCTTGGCATATTGTAGAAACCTGAATAGTATAGAATTAGGGGCTTAAGGGTTTAGGGTTTAGGGGTTTAAGGTCTAGGGGTTGGTGGACCCCCCACTCAGTAACAGTGACTATAAGGGATAATAGGGGATATATTAGGGTCCTGTAATATTTTTATTATACCATTATTACAGGGTGGGGGGTCCTCCTAAAGTATAGAATTAGAGATGCCGCCCCCATTCTTAACGAACCAAATGGAAAAGACAACAAAACATGGAACGGAGATAGGGTTAGTGTAGGGGTTTATCGGGACTATCCAAACAGTTGCCAATTTTTTTTTTGAGGTCTGTTTACGGTACCCTATATCATGAATATCTAGGAAATCTACGATCACAATTCGGTAGTCATTTAGGCTTCTGCAGCATCTAAACTTTAGTGTGTAGGTGTGGGTTTTGGGCAGTACCAGTAGTACTAGCAGCAGCAACAGCAGTAGTAGAAGTAGCAGCAGTCAGCAGTCGTGCTTGTGGCAGTGGTAGTAGCAGGAGGCATGGTGGTAGGCGTGGTCCTAGACCCCTGAACCCCTCGTTCCTTTCAGAAGTGCAAGACCTGGGGGTTCCTGTGAGCCAACGTGGAAGGTTGCAACTTGCTTTGAAGCTGTGGGCTTAAAGACTCGAAGGTGAAACTTTTTTTTGATGCTGAGGAGGAAATGTTTCACTGCGTGGAAATCCAATTCGTGCACCTTTTATGTCTGGAACAAAGTCTGCAATGATGCAGACCTCTTCCCACTCTTTCCTCCGAATGCCAAAAAATCTTTCCATAGTATCTTCCTGGAGTTTATGGCGGTCATGCCCGGTGCTGCAGCGATCCTGATAAAACCTTTTGACAATATGAGAGAACCAAAGAAAGTAGCTTGATTGGTCAGTTCAAGGCTGCAATGTTCACTCTTGCGGGTTGTACTTTTGATGCTCGCTCCTTACTTGCCGCTGCCGGCCGATGTTCTTCATTCAATTTATTCCTGGAGCCTACACCTCTCATACTTTCTGGCCAGAAGCCCTGACTCCTGAACTTCTCGAACCCTGAAACCTCTCAGTTCTCAACCACCAAGCCCGGAGCCCCAAATCCTAAACGCGCGAAAGGAGCCTTCACTTTTGCCTTTGCTTTAGCCTTTGGAGCAGACTTCGGTCTTGCCTGGTTTTGACCCGTCTGCTGCTTCGCCGAGGCCTCCTTGGCCGGCTGAACTGTCCCGGCAAGGGCGGCTGCAGAAGCAGCTGCCGCCTTGCCTTGCAAGGTTCAGAGGCCGCAAGCGCTAGGAGGCGCTCGACACGCTCCAAATCGCCAACTTGAGCCACAGCCCCTTGAAGCCATGGTGATCCACGTCTAGGCCGTCCCTAAACCCCAAACCCTAAACCCTGGCCCTCCAAGCCATGCATTTGGGAAAAATGAGCACCCGTCCCAAAAGACATGTTTAGAGTGCGGGGTTTAAGATTTGGGCGGTATAAGGCTTCAGGTTTAGGGCTTGAGGCTGAGGGCTGAGGTGTAGGACATAAGGTTTTAGAATCTGGGCTTCGGATTCACGATTTTGGGTCAGGCTAACATGGGGTCTAAACAAGGTAGGTACAAAAACGACTGTCAGATTCAACAAACGATACGGGGTTTCATGATAGTTGGGGTCACAGTGCTCTGTAGGGGTGCAGGGTTGCGTGCGGCTTCCGTTGAAGCCCTAAGCCCCAAGTCATGCATACGGGGATTTCAACTTGTACTATAATCCGAATGACAAAGATCCAACCCCTGTGAAATACACTTTGCACTTCCCCACCTTAGCACCAGTAAGTCTCACATCCTAAACTTTCAACCCTAAGTAACACTGTAGTCATTCCGCTCCACCTTCAGCCCAAATCCTCACAACCTTAACAGCCTTACTAGGCCCCAGTAACCCCTTAATAAAAAGGGTAGCCTTTTGCCTAATGTTTAGCCTTAATGAGGGCAAAAAGGGGTACTACTGGGGTACCTAGCTTAAGTAACCCTAGACCCTAAACCCTAAACCCTAATGGCATGGCTCAGAGCATCCCATGCCTTGGCGATGATACCAGGGTCCAGCAAATAGCTAAACATGGACTTTACTGGGTTGCTGTTAATGAGTTAAGCAACAGACGTTCCTCTGAAGCCCTGCAACCCTGCACATCAAGACCCTAAACTTAGCAAAGCCGAGAGGCTTCAATGGGTCAGAGGGAAACCGCAAGCGGCGCAACTGCTCAGCGTCAGGTCTTCCCATGGTGCCTCGATGCTGAAGTTTCTGAAAGCTGGCAACCAAAGGGATGTGCATATATGTGCATATATACATATAGATATATAAAATCACGTGTGTCTATGCAAACGTACTTGCAATAAAATACACACACAGGTTTGAGCTTGTCTAATAACATGTCTTGCTTTTGGTTCACGGGGTTGGGATTTCTCAAGCTGATCTTGGGTCCCCCGTGCTTTTCGGGGATTTGACATGCCTTAGGGGGTATGACATTTTACTTCATCTGGGAGCATGGGTGTAACGCAGTGGTATGTAAAGGGATGTGCAGGGTTTAGCTTTCAAGCTTGGAGAGTCGTGTTTGTGGCGCTTCAATCTCTAGGCTCACATGTAGAGGGCCTGGGTGATCAAATAGGGTTTTCGGGTACAGTATGCTTGAAATCTTAACACCTAAATTCCCCAAACCGTACATATATATATATATGTATATACAAAACGGGTTACCGTGAGAGTGCGCTTTTTCCACATTTTCTAGTAAACTTAATCTAAGTTTCTATTGATTTAGTGGAAAAATTGCACTCGCACGGTCTCCAGATATCCTAATTGGTAATTTCGCTATTTAAAGAACGCACAAACCAAAAAAAAACAAAAAACAATTTTCAGAGACTCATCCAAGAGAAGCCGGGGCCTCGGAGACATCCGATTTTGTTTTTATTTTTTAATTCTTTTTTTTGTTTTTTTGGTTTTATTTCGACTCGGAAAACTCGGAAACCTATCGGAAAACTCGGAAACCTCTCGGAAACCTGCAAGCTCGAGCCCTCATTTTCCGCAGGTCCGTTGCTTTTTCATCCACAGCCTTTCGCTGATGGTGGTCTTACAGTCTTGCGAGAGCTATGTAGTCAAAATTCTCTCATTGTGTCGCTCACTGCAACTCAGCAACAGCAATCATCTGTATGTGTAGGTGCAAACTAGGTTAGAAGCAAAACTTGCTGTGCAGGTGGAGCGTGTTGAACACATCTACTTTTTCATACTCTTCTTCATGAGCTTCATGACACGGATCTTGCGGGAGGTTTTCATTGTGCGCTTCTGCTTCTTCGTGCTGCATGCGTACGACTTGGAAACACGTGTGTTGCGAATGATGGGGCGCAGGTACACTGCGTTCTGATTCTCAGTGGCTTCGTTGTGACGCTTAGCCATGTAGAGGATGATGAACTTGTGCCGGTTCCCGCGCAACTCATTGAAATTGAACGAGAAACTCCTGAACCACGAAAAGATTTGCGCGCAAATGCTAGTGTTCACACCCTTGATCAGCTTCCCCAACTTTCTGCGGCGTCCTTATTTGTAAAGACTTCAATAGCAAATCGCTCAAATAGTAGCCAACATTTCTATCATCAGATCTAATTGCCTAGACACGTGGATTGCAGGAACACTGTGGGGCATGCCGGTATGCGTGGAACCAGTCAACCATGTAGTTCTCAATCTGATCCAAGGCTGTGTGTGAGTTGGCGAATTTCACGAAACTGCATGCCCTGTCATACACGAAAGTCTTCAACTTGGGGTACAACCAAAGCACTCCATTCAAGGATCCAAGCACGTGATCATTGTTCTCAGGTTCGTGCATCACAATGAGCGATATGATTCGGCCTGTGTTGGGATCACACATCATGAACCACCCCTTACTGTACTTTGAAGGAACCTTTGAGTGTACGCGAGGCCGCCCGGCACGTTTCATAGGACCATCTTCGCCTCGAGGTTTGAGAGAGAGATGACCGTCACCCACTAACACCTTTACCGTTTTGCGGTTCTCTGGGGGGAAGAGGCTAGAGTGACAGTATGACTGGTACACCTCAAGACTCGCGTTGGAAATCTCATCGTCAATGACTAGTGTCTTGCGGAGGTTAAGTACCTGAAATTCCCTGAGTGCGACGAAGTAAAACAAAGCCGTTTGGTGCAACTTGCGAAATCCAGAAACAACATCATCATGAGCGTCATCCTCCGAATCGTTGCCAAAGACCGACTTGTACGCCTGTTCGATAGCTCGAATGGAAACACGACCACGAAAGAGGAGCTCCTCATGATAGCGGAGGTACTGGATGCTGAAACCTTTCTTGGCACTCGCGAAAATCACGTCATCCTTGAAATCCTCAACGTTGAGGACGTTGATTTTAGAACCGTTGAGCCATCTGAAATTGTAGCCGTACGTGCTGCAACAAGTTCTAGAACTACACTGCTTAGGTACAAAGATAATGTCTTGGAGACCTGTCATTTCGTAGCAAATGGCCTTGACATGTTGCTTTTCAATCAAGGAGCCCTCACAACCAGGAACCGCACACCGCACAAGCGGACATGTGAAGTGCGGAAGTTCAGGATTTGTAGCAGGAGGCTTGTGTACCGTACCGGCACCACCCACCACATTACAGAGACGATGAGGATCATGGGTACGCTTCTCTACCAAACGAAAAAATGTCGTTTTGCCTAAGTTCGCGAGCTGCATAGGAAAGCTGATGCTGCATTCCTTCACATGTCCATTGTCGAAATGTCGCACGAGACCTTCACGGCAACACAAACCAGTGAAATGGCTTTCTGCGTGGCAGAGGTACAAACCATCCATACCGACATATTTGGAGGAAACAGGAATGAACTCAACGTGGAAATGGGACATCATCTCATTCATGTTCGACACACTGAAGGGACCATTCTTCACCATCTTTATTGGCAAACCAAACGACTGAAGAACTTGCACACCACATACATTGTGGAAGACTTCCTCGTGACCTGCGCCACCTATGCAGCCGCAAACAAAAAACGATCCATAAGCTTATGGTTAACAAAACTTCATTACATACAATTAGCAATATTTCCTGATGAGATGTACTTTGAACTGGTTAGGCCTGTTGGGTTCTTGGTCTGTGAGTTCTCCTCCGCCACGTCCATTTCATCAAGAGGCTCCTCAATCTCCTCATCCAACATCTTTTTCCAAATCATCCTTTTCGCGACCAAATGACAAAACCTCCTCATCCTCCACATCCTGATGTTGTTCATGAGGGAATTCTGGGTTCCTAACAACACTGGGCACGCGGGACGAAGTTGCTGTCTCTGACGTTGATGCTGTAGGGAATGCAGGGCGTTTTCTATCCGGGCTGGGCGTGCTGAGATCGATCTGGACGGGGCCACTGCGTTTGAGGCTTCGAAAGGCGGTGGTGACGTTCTTTTTTTTCACACGGGTTTGCACGGTAGCATCATCAAGTAGACGAGGATGAACTTGTCTGGGCGTTTGGGGCTCATTCGTGAACAAATTTCTGCCTCTGATAGTCACGGCGCGGGGAATTTCTTCACCTCGGAATACGCGATGGAGAACCTCAAGCGACCAAATCATGTCCTGCTGGAAAGTTTTAGGAGGGGCATGGTTGAATGGGTCCTTCTTGTATGCTTGGAGCACGGGCTTCTCCGCTGGAGTCAACAAATCCCTTGGCTCACCCTCAGGCCAGGAACTAAATTTGACATTGGTGTTGGATGGACTAGCAAGAAGCCAGTAGATACCAAAATCCGTGATGACAATGACGTGAGTTCAAGCAAGGATTGCATCCATATCCTCCGACTCATCTATGCCTGCAAATGATGAGGTAATGAGTTTGATGAATGACTCATGTTCGATTTCCCAAATGTTTGATGCACGCATTGCATTGTACATTTCCTCGTCCATCTTCTGATCGTAGGGATTGTTGCATGCCTGGCGACCTGCCCCTTGTTCGAAGTAAGCTGATGAGTATCGTGCCCACACTGTGGCATCTTCTTCCTTAGTATGTATAGGATTACTTTGCTGTGTAAGAATACGAATTAAGTCTTCCAATGTAGTATTTACTTTGGGTTATTGGGTTTTGCTTTTGGGCGGCTGTTGGGATTTGCTTTTGGGGGGGCTGTTGGGTTTTGCTTATGGGGGCGCTGTTGTGTGTTACCGATGTGGTGTATTATGTTTATACTATGGGCTAGCGACATTTACTAATAAGTCTGTTCGTTTTCATCGACATACCCCGAACAAAGAATATAGGACACAAATACGCATACAGCTCTCAAAACAGGCTCGGACGGGTTCAAAAACGCTTTAAGGAAGGAGGAGTCCATCTTTTGCAGCATTCCGTCATCGAAAATGGCGGGCTTGAACTTCGAAACCGGCTCAGACTTGAAAAAATCCAGGTGTTTCACGGTGACGATCGAAGGCACAAGATCATCTCGGTCAGCGGCCTCAATTTCAAATCAGGACTGACAGAAAGCGGCAACCTTGGATCCGAGACTTTTCCCCGTTTGTGTCTTGCCATTCCACGTAGTCGCATGCTGGCGGATTGAACCTAACATGTGCACGAGGATGCCATCGAAAAAGCCAACCCACCAAACTCTTTAAGGTGAATGGCCAGTACTCTAAGGTTTTGGCATTTTGCCTACCTCGTGAGTAGTTGTTCAGTGCTGCAATGACCTTGCTATCTTGCCAGTTTTCTATGGGGCTTCCCTGTTGATGAATTTGGGTATACGTCCACTCCATAAACTGGTTGAGATTATTTGCACGTGGGCCGTGGTCACGAATAAAGCGATAGCCAGCTGTTCGAGCGTCTTGATCGATTGTTGCCTTCTTCTCAAACTTGGGCTGAACAATCCAGTTTCGGACCTGCATACCCGCCATTTCGTTCATCATGTACGTGAGGCCCATGAGTGCTTGGCGAGTGTGAACTCCCCACTCAAACTTCAATGCCAAACCGAAGCACATGTCGATGCACTCCTTGGGGTTAAGTTTATTCTTGTGCAAGTAAACGTGCTTGAACACATGAACGTACGAATCTATTCTGGTGGGGTCGCATGCTGGCGGAATGGTGGCCTTCAAAATGATGAGTGCATGGTGTAGGGAAAAAGGTTCGGGTAGACCTTTGTAGTTTGCAGTGTTACACTCTTTCACGATCGTGTTTTCGAAGAAGTCCTGCGTAACATTTTGCTTTACGTGTTGGACTGCATCGCAAAATTGCTCAATCTTGCCAGACGTGCACTCCAAGAACCGAACAGGAAGATCCCCTACCGTCACACTCCCTGGGGGTCGAAAGGACGAGATCGTTCTGGTTTCTGGACCTATGAGACGAAGACCAGTGACATGAATGATGGCCTCATCAAATGTCAACGACGCATCGTCCCCCCCCCCCAGCTCGCGGATCAATCCGGGTATGGATGACCCAGGAAAACTAGCCATGGTAGAATTTCTCGTTGCGTCTGTTTCTCGCTTGAGTCGCAGTAGCTATATCGGATGATATTCTTTGGCTCAGACGAACTTGTGACGAGGGCTGAATCTATGAAAAAGCGCACTCTCACAGCGACCCGGGCTCCAAAAATGTGTATATGCATATATATATATATGTGCGTCAGCACTCACCCCCCCCAAGGTCCATGATGTCCATGATATAGAATATGATTAACCCCCCCTGGGTCCTGTGGTCTGGGTCTGGTGATTTAATGGAGAGGTTTAGATTAAGGTTTTAGAAGCTTCTAGTCTTTATAGAGTGGTGCTATAATGTTTGCAGACGGTTCATTAATTTAACAGCAGGGTTGTAAAGGTCTCAACAGAGTTTCTGAAGGGGTTTCTAGAGGGTTTGTGCAAGTTTGATAGGGTTTTATACAGATCTCATAGAGATAGATTGTTTCTAGAGGACTGATAGAATTTTAACAATTTTTATAGAAGGTTTACAGGGGCTCTTGCTCTTATAGACGGCTTGCAAAAGGTTAGAGAATTTTCTGGAGGGTTCGTAGAAGGTTTATGAAGGCTTCGTAGAGTCTTTAGTGAAAGCTTATGAAGGTACCTCCCTCTGTAGTCCTGTGGTCTGGGTCCTGTGGTGAAGGTTTACAGAGGGTTTGAAAGAAGGTTTTAGAGAGGTGTTACGGAGAGTTCATAGTTCTGGGAGGTTATAGGTATGGCTTATTCCCCAGATGGGGACGATACCATGGGGGGGGGAGGGGGGTGCGTCATTGATAACTTTATCAAATGGCTTCGTAGCCCAACATCCCAATCCTTGTAAGAAGGACCCCACATTGTTCAAATCATTCAATTTCCCCAACCATGGACCACTGATTAGTTGGCTGGAGGGGCTAGGACAGCAAAGTTAAGGCGCATCTGTACCCTTTGCTTCTGGTGGTGGAACTTGAAGGGCAACTGCTACGTCAAGGCTTAGCATTTGGGGCTTATGATTGAGGCCTAGGCTCTGGGATGTAGGGCCAGAGGTTTAGTGTTTGGACCCAAATCCTAAACCCTCAATGTTATTTGTGAGTGCTGACTTGCGATCAACTTCCACATTCTTACGATACTGCACGGAGGGGAGGCCAAACCTGTGATCCCTTTTCTTTGGGATACTCGAAAAGTAAGGAGCCGTATTACAAGCGGGACCCGAAAAGGAACCACACAATTTGGGGAGGATGAGCACGGATAAGCTACGGCGACAGCAACTACACCATAGTCCCAAGTGAAAATCCCCCAAGCACTACATGCTGTGACCGCCCTTTCCCAACTGTAGCGTTCATGTCCTCCATACCTCTACTCCCCTAAATTTCCCTGGCTCTAAAACATACCCACCAGACGCTTGTTTTCAAGTAGCTGACATCAATCAATTTCAGTTCCATGATGGAAATAATTAGCAGCCTACACCCTCAACCATAAACCTTGGGTACTGCCCCCCCTCAGTAACAGTTGGATAATCATTACAATAGGGATAAATTTAGCCCTTGATAAGACCCCGAATATAAACTGTTACTTGCGGGGGGGAATACCCAACATAAAGCCTAAACCTTGAACCCTAAATCCCAAACCCTAAACCCTAAATCCTAAACCCTAAAGCCTAAACCTTGAACCCCAAAACCCCAACCCTGAAGTGCTTCGCCTTTTATTGTGACTCTTTTTATAACCCCTACATAACCCTTTGTAATAGTTTCTATTTTCTTTTCCATTATCCCAACATGACCTCAATATAGCCCCTAATATGATCCCTACATATTCCCCAGTTTCCATTTCATTTTCCATTTTCTTTTTCTTTTGATTCTCCATTATTGGGGTGTGATATCCCTAAACCTCCAATAGTATCCCAATGCTCTAATATCCCTGTATAACCTATATTACCCTATGTTATGACCCTAAACCCTAAACCTTACACCCTAAACCCCTAAAACCTAAACTCCTGACGTCATCAAGCCTTGTAATCCCCAAAACCCCCACACCCTGAACCATTAAACCCTAAGCCCCTGAACCCCAAACCTTAGCCCACATTCCCCTAGGAAGAAAAAAGGATCCTTTTGTCCAAAATATAAGGAATCCCCCTACTCCCAAAAAGTAAAAAGGATCCTAACATTGTTCCAGAAATTTCCTAACCCCCAAACCCTAACCCCCAA